TTTACTTCTCTTCTTCCTGCATTTCTCTCTTTGGCGTTTCAATTGCAGCAACTTATTTTAGAGACAGTCCCCTACTATTAATTATCACAAAACCCCAATTTTAACCTTTCCACTCCCTCCCAGCCTTCATTGCTCTCCTGTTCTCATTCATCGATTGCCTCGAGCAGGCCCCAGTAACATCTCTTTCATCCTAGCCCTGAGATTATATTCAAGGCTCTTTAGGAGAATGAGACCCATCATTGTTACTGGTATTTGGCATATTTGGTACGCCACAGGGAGTTTGCCAGACTCTGTCCTGTGGGCAGGCTACATTCGATAGCCTGCAAGTTTGTCCAAAGTAGGAACGAGATCATAAGATGTCATCAAAAGATGTCCTGATAAGATTCTGGGAGCTGGATTTTATAGTCTCTGAGTCTTGGCCGCTGATGGGATTACACGGCGCCAGGGGGCCAGGTGGTGGGTGTGACCCCCGCCCACTAGAATTTGGAGGATCTGGGTGGAGGATGCTCAACTCCAATCCGAGTAGGCTTGGAGATCTCGGCCCTGGAACCCGCGTGGCTTTGTCCCTCTGCCAGTACCTTCATGTGTGCGGAGAGTAGTCTCGGCATGGTGGTGGCTCCAGGACCTCCAGGACCAGCCACCACCATCCTGTTCTCATAGGTCATATTATTATGGCTCCTCCAGTCTATTGAAATGCTGATAATGAATGAGTACATGGGGATGAACACACACACACACACACACACGTACACACATGCACACACACACATAAAAACACAGCAACCCTTTTATATCTATCGTCCAGCAGTTGAATTGACAATTAAAATTTTTGCTAAGATTTACAATAGACATCTTTGCAAAATTCTGCAGGAATTCAGAAGAGAAGGGAGTGCCCAATCATCAAGGGAACTCAGTAGGTTTGCAGAGCTAGCATTAAGGGGACAGAGTAAACATTTCACAGGTGATAAAGGGGAGCCACCACATTCTAGGTACAGGATCAGTGTGTGCAGATGGCCCTGGTTTTCAGAAGAACTTTGGGGAATTGGAAATGGTGAGTAGGTGACTGATAGGTCATATTCGATTGGATTGGATTTGGTATCTCAGGCACTTCAAACTTGTCTCATAGACCAGGGCTTCTTAAACATTTTCCTCTTGGGTGACTTCTTTTCAGCCAAAAATGTGATACATGTAAGTGTTGCCAAAAACTCTTTGTATTTAGCATGCACTTAATTTTAAGTTAATTTGTGATCATGGCACATTCAGGAGCATATCATTGTAAAAATTTCCACAATTCGTACTCATTTGTGGAGTATAAAATAACATAGCATGAGACCGACATCCAAGAACAGTAGACACAAGGGCCAGGAAGATTGCTCCATAGTTGGAATCCTGCCTCAGGAGCTTAGAAGGCAGCTGGAATAAAGAAGGGATCACTAAGACAATGATGGTAGGAGGGATCGGTCGGGATGGGAGATGTGTGCTAAAGTAGATAAAGGACCAGAAGTGTTGCCTCTCAGTATCTGTATTGCAAACCATAATGCCCCAAAGTAGAGACAGAGTATGGCAGAAATTGTCTGCGGAGGAGGCAGGGGGAGGGTGGGAAAGGAAGGGAATACTGGGAAAATCGTTATTGGGTAACCTGCACTTGTAGAGGGATGGGTGTTTGAACATTGTATGACTGTAACTCAAACATGAAAGCTTATAACTGTATCTCATGGGATTCAATTGAAAAAAAAAGAAAGAAAAGAACAGAAAACAAAAGAAAATTTCCACAACTCTATCACCATCATTTCAGAAACTAGATTAGTAATTGAAACATTAAACATAATCTCTTTGATTCCTTTGTCTTTTCTTGTTCCAGATACACATCAGGAAAGTGTTGCTTAAACAGTAAGATGGATTATCTGCTTTGGGCAGTATTCTTATAAATTCCTTCCATTATGTAACAAAGAACAGACTGTTCTATAGAATACTATTCTGCTGGGGACATAAAGCACAGAGGAAATTTACTCCTAGTCTGCCAGAAAAGACTACACCCATGCTACAGAAATAGAATATTCAAATCTTACTAGGTTTCCTAAACTAGCAGAATTGTCACATACTTGATTCTGGTTTGTACTCAAAGGGGCTTATGTTCTTCATACTATCTTCCCTTCATAATTGCATACAAGTAGTCTTTAGCCTAAATTAATTATAAAGACAATAATCTTCAAAAGACCATCCACTGTTTTCCCTTCGTTCAGAAAAAGTTCACGGACTTAATTTTTGTTACAGGGATATGCTAAAGTTTTGAATGGACTTATAAAGCTGGGTCTTATAAACAGAGATTCATTTCCTGCCCTCCACCCTGGGGCCAAACTGCTTACCTGGGTAAGTGACTCTAGAATCAGAAGTTGTCTGCTGTTTTTATTGAATAGTGTATTCAGGTGGGAACTTTCGCTGGGGCAGCTAAACAATTTTTGTGGCTTATTCTGTGCTTTGACTTCTATCACCAGATCACTTCTTGAACCCTGGACAGAGATGAGTGTGTTTCTCCAAGGAGCTCTGAGCTCCTCCTGCCTTACCCAAGAATAGGAGTTAAGCTTAGACTGTATGAAACTGATAACTCAGTAATGTTTCTGGATCCCCTTTCCCCAGATCTTATCAGTTCTTTTATTTGGACTTTTATAATCCTGACAGATTTGAGTGTCCAGTTTATGCTCAAATCTGTCCTAAGAGTCTCAAATTAGAAAGTACTTTGGAGGCTTGGAACTGAAAATAAATTATCACTTCAACAGCCAGAAGTTAACTTGTTACTGCCTGGTCATCCAACTTAAACTAATGTGTGCACATTCCAATAGAAATACCAGGAATTTGTCACAAGAAGAATGGAATCTATATTGTGAAACCCGATAACTCTCTCAAAGATATATTAGTATTTTTGCTAGCCACATACTTTACATCCAATCTTTTGTATTTAAGTGCTTCATTTTACCTCACACAATTTTACCTTTATTCAGGGCAAATAAATACCTATGGAATTTTCTAAGGTTAGAGCATATGGACAGGAACAAATTCTTGCAGACATTCTTCGGTGTTGTATTTGTTGGGGACACTCTTGGGGAATGCTTGAGAGATCATGGTTAGGAATTGAAGTTCAGGCCTCTCACATGCAGAGAATGTGCCCACTCCATTGAGCTAAGACTCTGGTACACTCTTTGTTTTTTAATATAAAAATATATTGTAAGAATGGGCTGGAGCGATTGCACAGCAGTAGGGCGTTTGCCTTGCTCACAGCAGTCCCAGCCGAGCTGGGTTCAATTCCTCCGCCCCTCTTGGAGAGCCCAGCAAGCTACCTAGATTATCTCGCCCACACGGCAAAGCTTGGCAAGCTACCCATGACATGTTCAATATGCCAAACACAGTAACAAAAAGTCTCATGATGGAGACGTTACTGGGCCCACTCAAGCAAATCGATGAATAACGGGAGGACCGTGACCATGATTGTAAGGATTATAAATATATTATGCTTTGTGGGCCACATGGTCTCTATCAGAGCTGCTTGGTTCTGCCCTGAGTGATACATAAACAAGCATAGCTGAGTTCCAACAAAAATTTAAAAACCAGATGATGAGGTGAATTTGGCCTGTAATCAGCTTGTTGATTCCTAATATAGAGTACAACTTTTCCCCTGGGATCTTGGGGAAAAAAAATTCTTTAGAAAGTAGAAAAATCTATGACCACTGTTTAAGTGTTCTGCCTGTGAGACTTTATTTTCCACAAGGTATTTCTCAATCTTAAACCTACAAAAGAACTCTGGTTGCTAGTAGCAACCGAGCAATGAGCCCCTTTCACTTTATCCTGACAAAATGGACTGCTTGGAGGGTGAGGGAAATGGGTGAAAGAATACTGGAGAAGATGCCCAAAGGCAGGAAATGTGATGGTAAATATATTATATCTTTGGTTTGGTTTGATATTGAATTATTGTTATGATCCATTTTATTGTTGAAACATGACTGTGAACTTCCTGAAAATGTGTATATGCATGTCTTACAACTTAGTGTCATAATAATTTAGAATTTAACACTTGAAATGTATTTGAAGCCCAATGTCTAAATAGGATGATTACCCAATTTATTTTTTATTGTACTGGGAACTTAGACTTTTACCCTTATTTTTCCTACCAGAAAGAACTCCTATGTGACTTAGTTGGGATTTCCCCCTCCTCCAATTATGAAGTGCTTAAAGAGGCAGTCCTGAAGAAGTTAGGAGGAGATAAAACCCAGCTGGAAGCAACTGAACAGTAAGCAGTTCCCAGTCAATTCAGAACCAATAATGAATTTAAGTCAGGTGGCCAAGCTAGATCTAAACATTTTACTTTTTCTTTTATTATTTGCTGTTCTGGTTTTACTTTGCTGTAGAAAATTTACTGTGTATGATAAAAACATAAGTATGAATTAAATGACAAAGAACTTAGGAAATATTTATTTTGAGACTTTACTACTCAGTTCCTAAGAAAACTTAATTTTTGTTTCCCCAGAGGAAATTCTCACAGTTTTCCTCCAATCGTTAAAAAAATTAATTCCCATTGTTATGGTATGTTTTTTTTTCTGTTGATATTGTTATTTACTAAAAAGGTAACCTGTAAGTTAATCTCATAAATATACTTGCAAAAGTAGGAACTCTGGCATGTCCGTTGTGTTCCGGCACTGCTTGGAGGAGTATGGGGATAGTTCTAAAGGTGAAAAAATTACTATTATTATTATTAGTTTAAAGCTGATAAGGACCCCATAACTTGGAATGTCATCCTGTGGTTCTTCCCTTCCAAGCTAAAATCTAAGGAGTGCTTTTTTTCCGAGTGGGCATAGGATTTGTGCTAATGCAACTATCTCTTGTGCTTCTCAGGTTGGGTTTACTTGGGGATGAACAAGTCCCTCAGGCAGAGTCCATCGTGGATGCACTCTCCAAGTATTTGGCTGCAAAGCTTTCCTATGGTAGGCCATGGGCTATTGACTAAATATCCCTGGAGAAGAATCAAAAGATGAAGTCAGCACAACTAGCTAATTGTATTGGGTGGCTGGAAACAAGAATGAGGGTGGGGAAATATGAAAATTAAAAAAAGCAGTTGGGCTATTTTTTCAGAAGGAATACCAATATAACTATTAAATATGAGAATGAACTTGGATAATATAAAAAAAGAAAATTATTGATTTGACTTTTGTTCTTAATGCCCTCTGGAAATGTTGGATGGAGAAATGTAGTCAGTAGTATAATTTCCTTGAGTTTTTCATATAAACTTGGGTTAAAAGGAGATATAAATAATCGCTCATGTCCATCTTTAATGGGAGGGCAAAAAGGAACAGGCACATAAGACACAGTCCTGGTGTGGAAATAACACTGACATTGCAAATGTCTGTTTACTTCAAGGCCCTGGAGAGAAAGATATGATCGTGATGAGAGACAGCTTTGGTATCAGACATCGTTCTGGGCATTTAGAAAATAAAATTATTGATCTTGTGGTTTACGGAGACGTCAGAGGCTTCTCGGCCATGGCTAAAACTGTGGGGTTACCCACAGCCATGGCAGCCAAGATGCTACTTGATGGTAAGTTTTTGCTTGGAGGATTGTCTCTACATTTGTCTTTATATTAGCTCTTAAATCATTCAGTTTGGGGGCAACAAACATTTACTATTGAGTTAACACTCTTGAGTATTCACTAAAGTATTCTATCAGAAGATTCAAGCCCTGTTTGACAAGGAGATCACCATGGGTTTTGGGCTTAGACTCGATCTCTGTCAACTCAGTCACAGGATCACTGAACCACAGGGTAGAGTGACGCTTGAGTCAGTATCTATAAACTAGGGTCCCCTTCTGTAAAGCAGGAATTGCTAATCACCTTAATTTAATTTGCATGTGACCGGCCCTGATTTGTCCCCAGCACCACATATGATCACCTAAGCAACACCAGGAATGATCCCTTAACACAGAGCCAGGAGCAATCCCTGAGTACTACTGTGTGTTGTGTTGCCCCGAAAGAATCAAAGGTTTCTACCATATAAAACAACTCTCAGGGAATAGCTTCCTTCTTTTGTGTTTTGTTCCTACTGGAGTTGGTAAAAGTGAAATAGAAGAGAAATTAATTTCCAAACATAAAAAATAGAATATGTTTTATGAATAATACTTATGCTATTATTATATTCAATAAATATTTTGAACTAAATTAGCTACCACTCTATCCTTAAGATGAGCTATACCTTTAATAGCATAAGCTCTAAATGTTACACTCCATTGGGCCCTGGGGTATAAAATATAAAATCATAAAATATAAAAATATAAAAACATATAAATGTGAAATAGTAAGAAAATAAAATTACAAAATATATTTACCTGCAAAACCAAATAAAAGGGTATAAAACCACCTCTTTAGTTTTTGAGAACATGATAGTTTTTTTAGGAAAGTATTTCAGTTTTCATTTTCTATATTTATAGTTCAGATTATAAACTTATTTTGTCTATGATGAAATAACTGAATTGACTTATTTATTTATTTTTGGTTTGGGGGCCTAAATTGAGGTGGTATTTAGGAGCTACTTCAAGCTCTGTGCTTGGGAGTCACCTCAGTGGAACTTCAGGGAATATATGGTACCAGGAATGGATCCTTGGTCTTCTTTCCACATACAAATCTATGCATTTAGCCCTTTCAGATATCTCCTGATCAGGACTGGTTTTAAACCATTCTGTTTCTGTTAAGTCTCTCTCTCTATCTCTCTCCTCTCTCTTTTAAATAAAAAGTATGATGAGAAAATAAAACAGAACAACTAGGTTTAGTTTACTTTCATACTGCCTGTTATCCTCTGATTGTTTTGACAATAGTTAATGCAGGTAAGAGGATGCATGCATTCTGACACAATCCCTAAATCCAGTCATGTTTCCAAACAAAATTGAGCCTTTTTTTTTTCTTACAAAGTTTAGATTAAGAAATAACAGGGGACATTTAAGCAATTTAAAAAATACCTAGGCTCTCAACAATTCATTTATTCTGTGTTTACTGTTATATATAGACTCTTTCTGAGAAAATTAAACTTTAACTATAATTTAAAAATAGATTACCAATTTACTTTCTTCCAGGTGAAATTCAAGCTAAAGGCCTGATAGGGCCCTTTGCAAAGGAGATCTATGGACCAATATTGGAGAGAATTAAAGCAGAAGGCATTATATACAACACATATAGTACAATCAAACAATAATTGAGATTTACATCTCATTTTTATTTTCCCAAACAACAATTCTGAATAATTGTGTCATAAACATGCTTATTAAGTTCCGTTTTAGTGTATGAAGCATGATTTTGATTAAATCAGTACAATGGTGGTTCTGAATATCTATTTTAATATGAAAATGTTTGAAACAGAGATGCCAGTAACTTCCAGAGAACTTTCATAATAATTCTACCATATATTTTCATATACATAAAAATCATACTGATTGTGCTATTGGTTAATTTATTATGCAAATTTTCATATAAGAATGTATTTTCCTATAATCAGATGAAATTTTATCTTTTTACTTACAAAAAATTTCTTCATGCAGCTATATTTTTGTATTTTTAAAATTGATTCCTTTAGATGCTTTTAGATTATTTGTCTGCAAATCTTTTTTGTGATACATTTTATGCTCTTTTGGTAAAAGTGTGATCTGTTTGTAAGTGTATTTCTATTGTTGTCTCTAGAGGTTGAGAAAGAGAGTAAGTAAGACTAAATCACAATATCAGTGATCAGCTCATTAGGCATAGCTAAAGCACTAAATAAATCCAATGTTTTTTTCATAATAAAAAACCCAAAATATTAGTTATAATGGAAAACTTTTTCAGTCTGATAAAGAACATGTATGAAAATCCCATAACTAGCATCATACCTGATGATGAATTACTGAAATATTTCTTCCTTAGATTAGAAACAAGGCAAGGATGTCTTCACTTTTCAGTTCTATTCAAATTGTACTGGGGAGGTTCTCTTCAGGGCATTTAAAAATAGTATGATCTATTTGTTGAAAATCCAAAGAAATATTCTAAAAATATTAGAATAATTGAATTCAGAAGTTATTGAATACAGAAAAATTATATAGTAGTGTATTATTTATATTTGCCAGTAAATAAAACAGTGGTTTGAAAAAAATATTTAAGTTTACAATAGCATGAAAAATAATAAAATAGGAATAAAATTGAGCAGTCAAAAATAGTCCTCAGATTTAAGGTCAGTTGATTTTTGGAAAAGGTGCTAAGAACATTCAATAGGGGCAAAACGTCTTCCACTGAACAATGATGGAACAACTAAATGCACATGCAAGTGGACGAAGTTGCATCCCTACCTCAGACCACGTATTAATTAACTCAAGAATGTACCAAAGTTCTAAATGTCATACTACATATAAGTTTTAGAAGAAAATGTAGGCATAAAATTTTATGACCTGCTGGTATTGGAATAATGCATGCATGAAACAGTATTTTAAGTTATGGTGTCTAATAAAAAGGAGGGGGACACAAAACATAAAAATGTTCAATAAAATAAAATTTTATGATTTTGGATTAAGCACATGAACAAAGGGAAAATATAAATTAACATCATCAAGATTTAAAATTGTTGTACTTCTAAGGACAACATTTAAAAATAAGTTGAAAGATAACATACAGGGGAGCCAAATTTTTGTAAATAATTTGTGTTGATTAGGTAGGAGTTTGTATTTAGATTATATAAAATAAGTTTAACTCAATAAAATAATAAATCCAGTGCTCGCTTTGGCAGCACACATACTAAAATAGGAATGAAAGAGAAAAAGATAAACTCAATTTATTTTATTTTTTAATTTTATTGAACCATGGTGAGAAAGTTACAAGTTTTCATGTTTGGGTTACAATCACACAATGCTCAAATACCCATCCCTCCACCAGTGCACATTCCCCACCACCAATCTCCCCAGTATACCCCCCCACCCTCCCCCTGCCTCCATGGCAGACAGTGTTCTCTATACTCTCTTTCTACTTTTGGGCATTATGGTTTGCAATACAGACACTGAAAAGTCATTATGTTTGGTCCATTATCTACTTTTGACACACATCTCCCATCCCGACTGATTTCTCCAGCCATCACTTTCTTAGTGATCCCTTCTCTATTCCAGCTGCCTTCACCCTTCCACTCATAAGGCAGGCTTCCAGCTATGGGGCATTCCCCCCGGCCCTTATATCTTCTATCCTTGGGTGTCAGCCTCATGTTTTGTTATTCTATACTCCACAAATGAGTGCAGTTTTTCTATGTCTGTTCCTCTCTTTCTCACTCATTTCACTTAGTATGATACTCTCCATGTCTATCCACTTATAAGCAAATGTCATGACTTCATCTCTCTTAACAGCTGCATATTATTCCATTGTGTAGAGGTACCAAAGTTTCTTTAACCAGTCATCTGTTCTAGGGCACTTGGGTTGTTTCCAGATTTTGGCTATTATGAACAGTGCTGCAATGAACATATAGGTAGAGATGTCATTTCTACTGTGCTTTTTTGAATCCTCGGGATATATTCCCAGAAGTGGTATTGCAGGGTCATATGGAAGCTCAATTCCTAGTTTTTGAAGGACTGTCCATATTGGATAAACCCAATTTAAAAACTAAACAAGGGCAACTGAGTCAACAGTTCTTCAAAGATGATATATAAGAAGTAAATCAGCACATAAAAAACGTTTATCATCATTATCATTATCAGGGAATTGCAGATGAAATATAAAGATGTGATTCTATTTCCTACCCTTCAGGAAAGTTGAAATAAAAAGTTAATAGCAAGGGCAGAACAGGTAATTTAAAAGACTGAGTGTACGCTTTGCATACAGGAGGCCTGGGTTCAATTTCTAGCAATGCATGGTTACAGGAGCACTAAACCAGGTGTGCTCTTCCCCCAAAAAACCCATCTCGCCCTCCACCCCCAATGTTGACAAGAATTGCTGACAATGTGAAGAAACTGGAATTATCATCAACAGTTGGGTGAATTGTAAAATGATAAAGCTGCTTGGGAAAACGGACCATTCCTTAAAAAGTTAAACATGACTCAAAAATTTATTATTAGGTATGTAACCAAGAGAAATGAAACACGCATTCATATAAAACTCTGTTCATTGAATATTTACAGCAAGCATTATTCACATAGCTAAAAGTCAGAATAATTAAAATGCTTGTCAACTAATGAATGAATAAGTGGAATGTTTCATTTCATACAATGGATTATTATTTGAAAACATAAAAGAGACAAAGGACTGATGTATGCTGCAACATGGATGAGCCTTGAAAAAGTTATACTAAGTGGAAGAAGCCAGACACAAAAGACCACGTATTGTGTTATTTCATTTGTATGAAATACTCAGAATAGGCAAATCTATATAGAAAGTATACTAGTGTTTGTTTGGAACTAGAAATGATTTGAAATTTCTTTGGGGGGTAATGTAAATGCTGTGGAATTCATTGTGACAATGGTATTACAACTGTGAACATGTTAAACATCACCGAATTGAATACTTTGAATCAATGAATTGTATGAGATGTGAATTATATTTCAAGTTGTTGTAAAACTGAGAAATTACAAATAAATGCATGTTTTATTTTTGTTCCTGAGAAATATATAAAAATGCATTTTTTCCTTTAGAGATATTAAACTAATACATAATTGATTTGGGGATGTTGCCTAGCACACAAAACTAATTCTGTCCTTGAAATAAGCAGGTATTTTGTGACCTTTGTATGCCAAGAGGTCACACCATCACACCTTTCAATATCTCTTGACTTTTCCAGATAACATCATTATTTGTGTTCTCCATTTTTTCTTGGTTAGACTCATTAGATACTAGAAGTTTCTCCTTTGAGACATAGTGTTGAGTTATACACATTGCTAAATTTTTTTTCTCTACAGAATGAGAATATCAGTAATTCACAGAACTGTTACACGGTTAATGAGAAAATGTAAGAGGAAAGCCTCACATTTAATAAACATTTTGGAAAGTTAGGATTCTTTTCTCTTTGTCAATAATATTTTTTCTGAAGTTCATACCAAAGTTAAGGAGACTATAGCTCTGAGTTTTTAAAAAATTAATTTTTGAATACTTTTGAAAACTCCTCAGAGATCCATACTGCTTTAAAAAGTCTAGAGATATTTTCTCCTTAATAATTTTACTTGTTGGGCTACCCAAATGGTGTTTCTGGGGCCATTCTTGGGAATTGTTAGCCATATGGGACAGCAGTTCAATGCTAGGGCCCAAGGAAGGAGAACTGCTTAGGCCCTGTGGTCCTGGGGACCAGCTAGACCACTCCAACACTGTCTGGGGGCCTCTAGGGCCATACTGAACTGTTTCTGGGGGAATTACCAGGGGCTGAAGATTAAACCATCATTGGACAAATGCATGGCATGCTCCCTAACCACTATACTATCCCTTTGCTCCCATAATGAGAATTTTGAAGAGATTGAACTGTGGGAAGGACCAGATAAATTATTTGGTAAGTTCTGCTTTTACAGGAAAGAAAATGAATCTTACAAGTTAAATGACTTGTAATCTCAGATTACAAGATTCAATATATGAAGTGTGAAAATACTTGATATGATTTGGTAAGAGCTCTGATTTATAAAACCTCTCTTAAAGTACATTATCACAACCATCACTAGCTAATATAATGTAGTTTTGAGAATCTGAGAGAAGTATTCCTTCCTTAAGACACTTATCTTTCTAAAAGTTGCTATAAAGTGTATAATTTATTAGAACACTATACTCCACTCCTTGATAAAAAAAAGTTTAAAATAAATGTACAAAATTCAAGTAGTCAACAAGTCCATTGTTTCTATGTGAGTAGCTCCTCTTTAGAGAAGTATACACATTACATGGTCAATAAAGTAGCTAATCTTTTCCGTGTATGTTTTAGAAATTAGTTTCCTTTACAATGGCTTATATATGTTGATGTTCACCATGGAACTGTGTTTACCTGACCTGAACTCCATTCCAAGTGTCCAACGAGAAAAGCTGTCTGACAGCCTAAAAGTAGTCACTCACAACTAATCGGATGGCTTCTGTTTTCCAATTTTGTTTTAATCCTAAAACTCATTCTTAATTTTTGTCCACTAGCAAGGATTGAAGCATTGAAGTCTACTTTGTGAGTTCATCAAAGTTTCATCCCTCTAGTTTGAGATATTGGTGTCATAAAATAGTTTCAGGTGTCTTCCAGTTTTGTGTTTGTTGACCATATATACCACATCAGTGGACAGCAAATTCATAAACCCTGGGAATCCCGCAACTAACCCAAGAGCCTGATGAGATTGCATTATACTGCTCTCATCTTTGTTTGATTGAAGATGATTCTGGACTCTTGCCAGGCACAAGCAAAGCAGTAGCCAGCACTTGACTTCAATAATCTGAGTTCATTTCTTCTGAGCCAGGTTCTTGGTGAAGTTGGCACAGGGTGAAACAAGCTCCTGTATTTGATCAGCAAACCTGACGACTCCAATAAAGAGAAAGATGCTTGCTTTATTAGCAAACTATTGATAAAAGGACTTTCTCCCTAAGTTGAAAGAAATATCTGGAAAGAGGTAGAAATCAAATAGTTGGTAGAGAAGAGAAACTCGAATAAGTGCAATAGTACATACAAAAGAACAAGAGAAAAGATGAGAAAATATCAACTCTCAAAGGGATAACTTGTTAAAATGCTTTAAGCAGTTTGACTCATGTAACATTCATATTTAATTTTTCATAGCTGAAATTTAATATTGGCTGAAACTATGCAAGTAGTTTTGTATATGGCATACTTCACAAATATAAGAGGTCTGGTTCAGCCTCTGTGTCTTCTGCCCATAGGTTAAATGATACTGTTCTTTAGGGAGCTCTCTGGCCTCTATGTCCTTTCTCTATATGCTTTTCCTCTGGGTACACGTGTCCTCCCTTATGGTTTTGGTTTCGTGGTGTTAACCTTTCTATCTTTAGTGAATTCCCAACTTCATCATGTGCGCTTCAGAATATGCATGTACACACCTGCTTAATCTCTTTTTGAAAATCTCCCAGCATCTGTAAGAACGAGGTGGATTTAAGAGTGATTTAACTGGTGATTCTGAGGCTAGTTTAGGAATTTCGCTCCAAAATCAGTTATTTTTTTCTCAGAGTAGCACTGCACTGCGCTGTCCTGTTCATTGATTTGCTCGAGCGGGCTCAGTAATGTCTCCATTGTAGGACTTGTTATTACTGTTTTTGGCATAGTGAATACGTCACAGGTAGCTTGCCAGACTTTGTTGTGCGGGTGAGATACTCTCAGTAGCTTGCCAGGCTCTCTGAGAGGGACAGAGGAATCGAACCTGGGCCGACCAGGTCAGCCGCTTGCAAGGCAAACGCCCTAACCGCTGTCTTGGGAAATTGCTGCTCAGGACACAATCGTTGAGAGTTTCCTTTCTGCCACTCACATTTTCAACCAATCGGGATTTCTTTTTCTTCTCTACTAAATCCCTTAACTCCAGTCTAATTGCTCAACCCAAGTCTACCATTAGCTTGTTCTGGCTATTTTCAGCTTTTCAGCTTTGACATAGATCATTACAGCATCCTGTTCTTTTTTTACAGGCACACCCCAAAGTATTAAGGGGCTACTCCCATTCCTGTACTGGAGACTGGTGCTGATTCTTCACAATACTTTGGGAACCTAATAGTGTGGGGATCAAATCCTGCTGCCTGCATGCAGAGTATGAACTCAAGCCCATCCAGTTCTCTTTCTGGTCCAATTAAAATTTCCCTTTTTTAGGTGTGTGGGGAAAGGGAATAGTCATTTGTACTGAGGGCTTATTCTTGGCTCTGTGCGTAGAGATCATTTCTGGTGGGACTTGGGACACTATATGCAGTACCGGGGATTGAACCAGGGTTGATCCTCTGCAAGACAGTCACTGTAATCCATTAACTATATCTCTGGCCCTACAATATCTGTTTACCTGGCCTACCTGTCTGCGGAATTACTTCACTATTGTTCATTCAGCTTATATTCTTCCAGGAAATACAATGTGACTATATTTTCCTCCTTAAAATCCTTCAAGACTCTTCCCTTTTTTTCCAAGATTAAGCTCACACCCCTTAGTGGAAACTTCAGGGTCCTGCAGAAATGTCTTTTTTTCTGATGATGCCTTTGTCTTCCTTGGACTTTTGTCTTCCTGGACATGTACCTGTCCTCTTGCCATCACTCAGGTTGAAGCTAACAGGAAGTTACTTCTTCAAGGAATTCCCAGTCTGAGTTAGTTATTTCTAGAAGAATCAAGACTTTCTACTCCTCCCCTGGCACCCCTCTCCCGCATGATACAAACCCTCTCTGAGCTACTTGAGTGTGGGCTTTTGAAAATGTATTGGACTTTGTAGCTATCACTAGAGAGGGGTTATCTGGTAAGAGTCAGTGAACCTCTGGGAGGAACAGTCCATGATGCCCCAGGCTGAGTCCCAAGCCTGCTCCATTCACATCTTCCTGGTCTCACCTTGTTTTAATACCTCTTGCCCGAAGGCTTTCTCTGGCAACATGCCTCCTTCCTTTTCTCTCATGCCCTACATGCTCCTCAATTCTCAACATGCTCCTCTCCTCTTGTGATCAAAAGAACTCACAAGTGCCAGAGATAACTATCTCCCTTCCTCTCTCTTTAGCCAGCGTTTCATGAAAGTTAGAATGCCTAGATTCTTTGAGGGGAGGGGGTTGTTTTGATTTGGGGTCACACCTGACAGTGTTCAGGGGTCACATCTGGATCTGTACTCAGGAATTATTCTTGACAGTGCTCAGTGGACTATATGGGATGCTGGGGATTAGACCTGGGTCTGCCTAGTGCAACGCAAATGCCCTACCTGCTATACTATTGCTCTGCTTCCAGCCCCATATCGTTTTGCATGCAAAATGTATCCCATGCCTTTGAGCTATCTTCCTGAACCTGCGTTTTTTTTTTTCAGCCTTTGAATATAAGAACTCTAGTTACTGCTACTGCAAAGAAAATCATTCTCAAATATCCTGGATTAAGCCAACAGGTGTTTATTTTGTTCATGCATCTGTAGTTCTGGCATGGCTGCCAGGGAACAGCTTGTTTCTGTTCCACACAATGTCACCTGGGGTATGCTGACTGCAAGCTAGGGAATCCACTTCAGGACAGCTGGTTCCCATGATTAGCAGGTTGGCTCTAGCTATGAGCTGGAAGCTCAGTGGGGCCCATGCCTCAAAGTGTGCTTTTTTTTCCCCCATGGCAATGGTGTGGTGCTATTTCCAGTGTGAACATCCCAAGAGATCTAGGCAGACACTGTATTGCCTTTCATGACAGCCTCAAAGGCACAGGGAAGGGCCGGAGAATAGTATAGTGGTAAAGCACTTCCTTGCATGTGGCCTACTAAGATTTGATCCTTGGGATCACAGATGGTTCTAAACTCCTCCAGGAGAGCCAGGAGGAAGCCAGAAAAAAGCACAGCTGGATATGGTCCTGAAACAACAGCAGCAGCAAAATCCACATCACATCAATTGTATAGAAGTTCCAAACCCAACCCAACCCAAGAGAAGAAAACCACTTGAGAAGTCCTCTTCACTATAAAATGAGTTCAATCGCATGAAGGATGAAATGGTTGTTTTTGTCTC